CTTGAAATGTTGCACAGAACCAAATTTTCTGATCTTTCCATATAACCACGTGCCACCTATATCATGCAGCAGAATGTTACCAGCTCTGTTCCATTCTCAGCTTCTCACTGAGGTGCTCTCCTTCCAGTTTTTTTGTTTGTTTTTTTCTTGTGTGTCTCTTTTTCCCCTGGCATAAAAGCTGCATTGTTTTATCTTTATTATAATTGTCAGGTCTATAAACAATTCAAGTTCATTTATGTGACTTTCATGTGCATTAGTACATTAGAACTAAACACTGAAAGAACACAATAACACATCAGGGACAAATTTCACCTCTTATCAAAGTGAATCTATTATTCAGGAATAACTTTTAAACATTTACATTGCAGTTTACATAAGGCAGAAATTACCTATACAGGGATTTGTCAACACTGGTTAAAGGTTAATGCTGGCTTTTTTTTTTTCCTCTCCAGTTTTTACCTTTTTTTTTTTTTTAAGTTAAGAAAAAAGCACACGTGGAAATTAGAGAAAGAAGTCATGTTAAGAAACTGTTCAAAAGGATGTACACAACTGTATGAAGATTTATAGTCTTTTTCCAGTCTCAGCCAGCTAAATTTACTACCCCACTACCTAAAGACAGCAAAAATTCTGTAATTCCTTATTGCATTTGCTGCTGCAGAGTAATAGTTGCATACTGTTTCTAGACAATTTAAGAAATCCTCTTCATATTTACTTCATTTTACAATCAGAGAAAGGTTTTTTTTTTAATGCTAACATTATTATTGTTTCAAATTAGAAACTTCTTAATTATAAAGTGTCATTATAAAAATGCATTCATCATCTAGAAGTCACATCCTACAGAGATTTGTAACAGTCACAGAGGAGACATGCAAAGATTCAGAAAAGCAGTGACTCCATTGGTAGAGTGCAGCAGGCAGATGCTGGAACATTGCAATGCCTCAAAGGCAGGCAGCACTGAAGGCAGGGGGTTTAAAAGCAGTAGCATACTGTCAGAGGGTCTCCTTGGGCAAGGAAAGCCTTGTATTAAGTGCTATGCATCACTTGATGGGACATAGCAGAAGAAAAAACTATGAGAGCATTGGGGGAAGGACAAGACAATGAGTATTTCAAATAAATAACACATATAAGAAGAGTATAATAGTATGTAATAATCTACACTGGATGTACTTCAATCTCATCCTTTAGATTGTGGATACATTTTATCTTAGATAATTACACTAAAACCACTTAGTAAAATTCAGTATGTCAGAATTTTCCTTAAGATATCCATATCATCAGAATGGGTATTTTGGAGTTAAGACATAGAAGAGGTCTTTGTGGTTTATGCCATTTTATTTATTTTTTTTAGGAATGTAAGCAAGTCTGGTATATTTAATTCAGGCTATCCATAGCCACAATAAAAGCGTTTTTTCTTGCAATTTATCTCTGGTGTTCTATACATGTCATGTTTCTGAATGAAGGGAAAGCTAAATTATGTTATTTTTGACATACATTCAAGTACATTAAACATATAGATCCTTTTCAGAGCAGTCCAAAACATTGGCTTTGAGAATAAGTAATTAATCCATATACAATCAAAAAGGTCATTGTCTCTCATTTTTACTTTCCATACCTTCCACAAATATTTGGAACAAAACACACTTAGTGTGATTATGACAGAGATATCTTCCCTCATCTCTGTCTTTCTCCCTGTCTCTTTCAAATCAGGTCTCTGTAGGGTCCTAAAGAATTCTTGGGGTACATTTGCTGTAATGTAGGAGAGAAGCATGTTTGTAGTCCATGCAAAATATTCAAAGAAGCCATCTCTTCTTTTAGTCAAAGGAAGATTAAAAACTGTTTTAACCCTGACCTTACCATTGAATGCCATGATCCCAACTCTTAGCCTCCAGGCAATTAAGAAAAAAACTGTTTGAGTACATTCAGCCAACAATTTCCACGTTAAAAAAAAAAAGTCTAAGTTGGAGCCATGTGGTCTCAATCAGGCAGTAAAAAAACTCCCTGTTATGTTCGTAAATGCAGAACTGCAGTATGCCTATAACCTCTCTTTTAAATCATCTTAACCAGATCTGAATCACTCTCACCACAAATGATTCGGTGGCCCTGGAATGTGCTGGGGTAGACAGAGTTGCGTTGGGACATCTCCCACTTCCCTAGTGTTACAAGAACTGTCTGCAGCAAAAACAAAAAAAACAACAAACGTTCTTTAAAAGGTGAAAGCCAAGACAAAAAAAAGTGACATCACAATTGAATCATTCAAGGAAAAAAGGAAAAAAATGTAACTACTGCCTAATAAATCAGAGCTGTAAGCCACAAGCCACAGCGAGCCAGTGCAGCCACAGAACAGCTTTTCTTGCTGAAGCAGAGATACCACAAGCAGCTGGCAGATATATGTGTAATTGTATTCAGAGAGGTATTGAATTCCTTAAGCTAGCCAGACTCAGAAAAGTTGATCAATTAAGAAAGCAGAATAATGGTGATTTCGGTAACAATCTGTGCGTCCCTTTACAAAGCACTGCAGCATTGCTTAACACGGGCTGTCACAGTTCTTGGCACGGATAATAATTTATGTGGTGCTTCATTAAAAGCTTACAGACTGATCACTTAGGGTGAAACAAAGCCTGTGAGGTACTTGCATAACCTGGATAAACACTGCTAGTGAGGAGGAACTAAGCACCTTAGCTTTCTCAGGACCTCATAGAAGGAGTTCCAAAATGTTACTTACTTCTACAATTATAACAGAGGAAGGGGAATGTAATTCCCTGGAGGCTTCTAAAGGTCAAATTTAAGGAGCAAATAAGCAAGCTTTGCTTAACTAACTGCAAGATTCTTAAATGTTACTTCCTCTTTAAAAGTCTGTCTACAGCCTGAAAGATTTTTTTGTGTCTTGAATCACCACAAAAAGCAATTGAAACATGTGGCCAAAGTGAAGTGCATTTATAACAGGAATAGACCAGAGCCAAGAGGTTTGGATCCAGATATTAACCTTCTCATATTGTAGACATGGTAGAATCCAGGGGTTTTGGTTAAGGCCCATCTCTGAATTCCCTCACTGCCAAACCTCACAGACAGTAGAAACTATGCATTAACACATCAAAGCAGGAAAAACAACATAAAGATGTCACATTCTTCCACTACATCGACGGGGGAAAAAAAAAAAAAAAGAAAAAAAGAAAAATGAAGTCATTATAGCACCCATGTAAACTATGAAACTGAAAGCAACTGCTGAGAAAACCTGACGTAGTGCCATCAGCAGGGGGGAGCCCAGCACTGGAAAACCCTATTCCATTTTTAGCTCTGAAAAAGAATCTTTGCTAGTTCTAGTTTGCAATTCCAGTTCAGTGAATAACTTGCCAAAAATAGAACTAGTAACTGCCATAGAAAGAAATGCCTTAGTCCACGACAGATAAAATCTATACTAAACTTCACCAACATTATAACATATTGGAAACTATCCTTCTGAGCACTATTTTGCAATTATTTGAAAGAAATAGAATTTAGCAGATTTTTTTTTTTTTAAACCAATTACCACACTACTCAGAAGCGTAAAGGTCAGAATGGGTGAACATTGGTTACCTATTTCTGAATTAGAAAACAACCAGAAGTTATAGATCTCAGAACAAGCAGGTGATTGTCAGTGCCTCCCCTACTTTGCACAAGCACCCATTTGCACATTCAGCATCTGTTTCATGTGACTAGATTCACCTCCACAAGTTTCTGAGAAACCAGTAGTAAATGAGGCGGTAGAGGAAAGGGACTGCTTTCCTCTAAAATATAGAAATAACTACCTGAAGTAGTTAATGGAGCCAGAGTTAAGCAAAAATGAAAAATTAAAAGCTTTCATCTTTCCAGGTCAATTGCCTTGGTAATGCGTAAGTTTATTTTTATATTTTTAATTACTTAAATTCATTCAACCACCTGATCTTCTCCCCTTCTCTACATTTATTACATATTTTAACATTTGGATTTCAAGAGTTTCTTATATATCATTTAAAGATAGCAAGACAAAACAGTGTACTGATAGCAGTGCTTATCAGTAGCTTTAAAGCAAATGGGTCCCTATAGTGAATTTCTTTTGACAGCTGGATATAGCATTTCTGAAAGCAAGGCATTTGGATTAACCTGGTGCTGTACTGATTGTTATAAAATTTTTCTGGAAGACAAAATAGATAAAAAATTTAATTAAAATACAAGATCTTAGTTACAAAGCAATTGATTCTGCTAGCAACCTTTGAAGACAGCAGTAGTAAAGCTTTTAAATAAAGCAAGGACAGCTAAATCACTCTGCTTATTGGAAAAGCACCAAGTTTCTTTTTGCAAGTTCTTGTCCTTTCTATGATAGTCATTTATCCAAGCACACACTCTCTTCGACAGTACATTAACTTTTATTTTCATGCTCTAAACCAGAAGGCCCACAGACTTTTTGCTTTTAAATTCAGATTCACTCAGCTCCTAAGGGCAGGGGGGCTGAAGGGGGGCACGACACACGACAAGGGGATGACCTCTGAATGAATGCCCATCATCTGAGATAAGTCTATTTTCAGTCCCTATAAGATAAACAGTCTTAGGGAAGTCTCTTATCCTTTTTCACTCCCCCTCCTCCCTGAACTTTAGTTCTATACATACCCTATACGATGGAAGATCTTTCCTGCCCAGGCTCAGCTTTGTTCTTAAAAGCAAGGGGTTATCCCACAAGTTAAAGTCACTCTGTTCTACGCAATACAAAACAAAGCAGATATGCAGAAAACCCAATACTGAAACAATTTGGAAAGCTTTCCAGTTGTACAGGTGTTCAGGAATTTGGCTAAAATAGATACATTCTTGTACAGCTTTTCAAAAAATGAGCAATGAGGAAAAATTTCTTGCTAGGCACTGCTCCGACACCGCTGTAACTGCAGACACACAGTGTGAATCATTCACGTACTTCTTTCCCCTCCCCTCCTGTAGTAAAACAACTACTTTGTTTTCTTGCATCTTTACACACATTTAATGCTGGCACTTACCGTGGTGGAACAGAGGGACCCCTACCCCCACAAAGAAGGTGATGGCTGATCGTCTCTGGATTCTTTATTTCTTGACTACTCCCGGCTCTTTGCTTTGCTGCTCTAAATTCAGCCTAGCTTGCAGAAGAGCACAGAAAAAATTAATAGAGAGCTGAGTTGCCAAAAATTCCAGCCACTCGCAGTCAGCAGTGAAGACGTTCTCCCCAGTTCTGAGTGATTCCAAAGAACAAAGCCTGCTGGCAATGAGGAAGCGGAGTTTAAGTCCCGTGGCTTCAGTCCAGCTGTTGCTCTCTCGCTTTTGCTTCAGAGTACGTGAGAGCGGTTGTATGAGCTCGTAATGCAAGCAAGAGATGGGGGCTGGGAAAAAAGGGGGTGTGTGTAAGGGGAGGGAATGCTAGTCATATCCAAAAATAACATGAAGGAAGTAATGTGGCGATCCCTCTCCCCCAATTCTGTCCCCTTATCGCATGTACGGTGAGTATCTCTACCCTAAGATTCTGATCTCAAGTGTGGGTAAAGAAAATATGCCAGTGTGACTTGCAAGTCATTTGGTTCTGCTATTAAACTGTAACTGAGGTGTTCCTTGCTTAAGAGGGCACGTCAGAAGCATGATTTAGTAGCACGCTTGATGATACTGAAGCCAAAGTGCATTTCACACTGTATGTCTTCATTTGTTTGTAAACCAGAGAGAAAGAAACAAATTACTGTTGAATTTTACCTGTCAGAAAAAAAGTGGTATTGCATTTGCCTTTCCAGAAGTTCAAAAATTCCAGTTTTAGGTTTTTCTAGATACTGCTTAATGGTGATTGTTTGAAAAGAAAATTTGTAAATTTACAGTATTTTTTGTTTAATTTTTCCCCTACTTTTTCATTAATTGTTTAATTTTTCCCCTACTTTTTCATTAATTGTTTCTTATAAATAAATTCCGCAGTCAGGCAAGTACTTCACCAAAAGAAAGAAAAAAGAAAATCAACTTCCACAATACGAAGCAAAAGAAAGCCATGTTAATTAAAGAAAAAGAAAGAAGGCACCATAGAACAAACAACAACGAGTTGTTCTTTCCCGTGTAATCAGAAATCTATAATGTAACTACTATCAGCAGTAAAAAGCTTTAGAATATTGGTTCAATAATAATTCTGGGCTTTTAAAATCTTTAAAACGGTCGTCTTAAGTGAACAACAAATATAGGGAAGAATAATAAACCATTAGTGATAGCCTCATATTTCTCCAGTTGGTTCATTTAATCTGCACTCTGCACATTAATTTGAGAACCACTAAAACAATCTGCATGTCCAGAAGCAATCTCTGTGATTACTTAGAATTTCTGGAGAATCATTATTCCACTAGGTAGGGCTTTAACGTCAAGCGGGTGTTCTTGAGATATTACAAACATAATATAGTTTATATTTTTATCACACTACTTCCTGAGAAGTGATTAGCATTATTTCTTAAAGGGTTAATTAAAGCTTGACAATATAAAGAAAGGACAAAGCAATCTTGGATTTAATTTCATCTCACGCAGAATAATTGAACCATAGTTTTTGAGCTAAGTAATATGGCATGAAGCATGCTGGTCACTTTCAACAATGAATTCTTCCAAGACAACAGTTCTCAAAGCAGAAGGAAAAGTGGGAAAGGAGGAATTGGAAACTGAACTGTAGTATGCCAGTTTTGACAACGATAGATTAAAGGAGCCACCTGTTTATACAAGACTTTGTTCCTTAATGCGGAAGACAGCGTAGATCAATCATCAGACATTGAGATCCTTATCCAGAGTCTTTTTTTTTTTTTATCCAAAGCTCCAGTCATTTTACTAACGATAAGGAGCTTAGGTTTTATAGAACCCATATAATAATTCTTCCTACATTCCACCTTCATTAAAGAAACTATAGCGCTTTTCCAAAGCTAATAGCAAAAAGAATTGTTATGATAAATTTTAAAATTACAAATACACTCTGTGTCAAAGGTAAGTCTCAGAAGCCTATAGAAACCATCTGGAATGAAAGGAAGTTATGATGATTTAGTTTGCCTTCCTGCATATTCACTAGAGACTGAATTTCAATATATTTTAAGGCCATAAAAAGTTACAGTAAATCCTAGTTCTGTATCAGGAGGTTCCCTGAGCCCTACTGTGATGTACTTTTCTCTTGGTGCTTCAACTCCCTGGTAAGCATTACAAAGCTTGGCTTCCTTTCCTGTCTCAAGGTTTGCCAGCCCAAATTCAACTTGACAAACTTCACATGCAAGGGAAGATCAAGAACAGATAAGATGACCTGGGGGCTTTTAGTGCACACCTCATCCCATCTTGAGCATCAGTTGCACTGAATTTGCTGACCTGGCTAATTAGAGTTTTAACATGAAAAAACCATATGCTTTGAGTGGACTACAATAAGCCCATATCTAGTTTCATTGCAATTGAGTCTCCAGAAGAAAGATGTTAGTCCAAAACCTTAGTCCAGACATTTGAGTTTGTTTTGCTGACTACTAATGGAAAAACACCAGCCTGGAAGAATATGAATTCAGAGAAAGTATAAAATTACAGCGTAAACACAAAATAGCAAGCAAATGAAAAAGTACTGTGAAGCTGTCACGCACTTTCCTCTGCCCAGCTGTCATTACCAGGGACCCAATGACATGAAATGGTTTTCTGGAAAATTTCAAACTCAGACAAACAATAAGTAAAATAAAAATCAACTGAGTACTTCAGTGATTGGTATTCCACAACTTCATCCCTCAAATAAGGCATTACTATGATATGCATTATGTTCTTGTTACTGTTGGAAATCTACACAGATGGCATGCAGCAGAAAAACATATCTAGAATTACTTGTTACCATATAACTAACAAAGTACTTAATTTTTCATGTTGCAAAAAACATTATTCCACTAATACTGTTATTTTCCTCAAATATAATGCATTCCTACTGCAGTTAAGAAAATGATGGCATCTGTACATCTGCTAATTTGCAGATGATCTGCTACAAGTAACGCCTTATTTTCTGCATTACAAACACTTCAGCTGAAAGTTTCAATTTCTGATGAACATTTCTCAGATTTCAGTTTGCTTTTCAACTATTGGCAACTTTAGATTAGAAACAAAAATAAGGGGATAAATACATATTATAATTTCTTTCATTGAAAGTTACTTTCATATATAGGAATGAGACAGGTGAGAGTACTGCTTTGTCTAGTAAGATAAGCCATCATAAATTGATTGTTCCTTGGACCAAGTGGCTACAGTAACTTCTGAAGCATTAGAAACACGGATCAGAAATTACAACAAGCAAAATACAATCCAGATTTCACAGATTGCTTAATTGCAATCAAAGTGTTCTAACTCATGTCAATCCTGGTAGCCTCTATAAAGCAAAGTTTTCTCTTATTGCTGTATCCTAAGGTCTATTCAGAGAGATTACTCTCCAAGACTGTTTCCATGAAGAAGTTATCCTATTTCTCTCTATTTTTTCTCTCCCCAGAATAATAGCGCAATAGAAAAGAACAACCACACATTAAGGGGAAAAAATTCAGTTTTACTCACTTCTTTTGATGATTTCCTAGACACAAGCTCTGGTAAACTGGACCACTTAATAACTTCAGAGTCTTGTACTTTGTACGCACAAATGTGTTCCCAATATAGCATATGTAAATTTGACATTCATCATTAAAGGTCACAGAGCGTTTAAATGTAGGGAGCACTCTCATGACCAGAACTATCATCTAATAAAAGAAGCAAGACTGGTGAAAAAGGAGGAAAGCTGAGGTCAGTCTGTATATATTGCTCAAATATTTTCTTTTTGGTATCTGAGTACCTTAGTTTAGTATCTACATACCTTAATGACCTATTCTGAGCTCAGCTTTGCTTAGGAAAAATTTTAAAGTTTGTTTCTTAATATCTGTACAGCCCCTTTAACTTCCGATTATGATTTCTTCTGATCTCCATAATCCTCATTACTTCTTGAGATGTGTTTTCATTTAAGAAGGGGAAGTATTTCTGAGGTAAATGCTTAGAGAGGATTTTTTCTTTTTTCCTCTGAAATGATTTAGATGTGAAAATTTCATTTTCAAAGGGGCTAAAGAATACTTAGGCATTTTTGGAAGATTTAACTCTGAATTTCTAAAGTCCTCTCTTAGAGGAATAAAGCAAGTTACTTAGAAGAAATGTATTTTCCCCTGACAAATATATTTGAGCAAACCCTTAGAGCAAATATGATCTAAATCGGAGGAAATTAAAAAAAAAAAAATCCTAACTCTCCTTACATCAAAACTTTCTGCACAGAAAGAGAAAAGAATATACACAACACTACTTTTGAAGTCTCTAACATTTCTATTAACAAAGAATTTTATTCACTTATACATAAGCAGTAGAGATGCACATGTACAAGGTATAAGAAACAGCCATGTAGGTTATGTATGTAAAGGGATATGTCCAAATATCTCAGAATGTGATCATTAATGAGATTTCTTCCACATAATGCAAAGTCAGAATCAGTATCACTCCTAAAGTGAAGGTTCAAAGAAATCACAAGCTTCTCAAACTCGGTGCCTGTGAAAGTGAAGTGTCTACAAGCCTCAACCAGGATGTCCCCAAAGTCAGTTTCTGCATCCTACTGACAGTATGCATACAGACAGGTTTCATTTTCCCAATGTCACATTGCTGCATTTTAACATTAACTGATAGAAAAACATTATTTTGTTACAATGTCAGCAGGAATTCCCCAAAGGCTCATATAACCAAGAACAATTTTAATAACTTACTTTCCAAATCAGTTACTACATCTGATTTCAGTGAAAGTTTGTTTACTGTTTGGGGATACATACGGGTACCCCAAACCCAAACAAGTCAAATGACTGAATTATTTGTTCAAAGAGTTATGGAATCTCCTGTTTCTTTCACTTTGTAATGTCAGAATAAGCATATACTAATCAGTTCTGAAATGGGCTCCATTTAAGTTGTTGAGCAATTAAATGAAAAAGCACTTTAAAAAGATACCTGAACTGTAATAGTGGTAGGGTGGACATAAGGGCATTTCTACAAGCCAACATTCACTCATTCAATTCATGCACTGTCCGTATGATTCATACAATGGCAATATTCTGCTTGAGGCTACAGCTCATGGGAACTATTCTTAATTGACAGTAATTCTGAGAATGTCATGCCTTCTCTGATGCTTCTGTATATCTGCAGTTTTAGTTCACTTTCATTCTCACACTGAGGAAACAAACAAGACCAGAGCGTGTGAACAGGTAATGATTCTCTATTATCTGTTGTCACAAAATACAAACCCAAGTAGTCTCTTCCAAAACATGCACATATTCAAAGAT